ATACTCCCCGCCCCTCCGGCTTTCGCCTCACATTTCGCATGCCGCATCACGTACGAAGCCAGTGTGGGAAAACTTGAAAAATAAATATATTCAAGGCACACAGAGGGAAAAGATAACAAATAAGAACTAAATTGCGTTGTTAGGGAAGTGAAAATGTAATAGGAGGATTTAAACCCACTGTATCTTAATTTGAGAATTTTCTGAATTTAAAAACACGTATGAAAATAAAGCTTATGCTTATATGTGTACATTTACATTTATTAATGTTAGAAGCACATACAATTTTTAAATTATTCTTTTTAATTAAAAAAAATAGAATCTATTTTGATTTATCTTTTTTTTTCAGTACACTTACAAACCAGATACCATGCACCGGCATAAATAGGCAGGAAAAAATGGAAAATGCTTAGACGTGCCCAGCTCCAACAACCTCTGGCCCACAGAAACAACAAAAGGGTGTATTGGTGAGCCATGACCACCGTTGCGTATGAGTAATGTTCGGCTTTCCGTTCCTCATTGTTGGTGTCAACAGTGCTGGTCATTAAGTACGTTTTCTTATTGTATGGCTCATGTGCCAAGTGATCAAGTTATTGATATTATTAAGATTATTAAGCCGCTGAAATATATTTTATATTAAATAAGTTTTACAACAATAACATAAAAAGGTAGGTACGTTGTTTTTTCTTTACACATCTTTTTTGTGGCTGATCTGTCGAGTTTTAAAATTGGCTGCTGGCAGCACTGTCTGCTGTTGCTTTCCATCTGTCTTTTCTGGGTGTGATTGGGTGGGGTGATATGTCTATGTACACACTCTGGACTGGAAAGTAGTTTTCAATTAGCTCAGTCCTGATAGCAAAACCCCATTGAGCAGCACTGAGTGCTTTGTTTTCCTAGTTAATTTTTCCAGGGTCTTTCGTATTTTGAACTCGATTGGATGGAGCCCTCAAAATTAAGTGCCAATATCTAAGAATCGTAGTGAGAAATGACATACAGAATTGCACAAAAAATATTCTAAATGTCATTGGAAAATATAACTTAAAAAAAAATATCATTAAAAACATTGTTTTTCAATACTTTTGCAAATATTTAGCAAACTCTTATTGGGCTGTTGCATCCTATTTTTAAATTAAAAATTAATTTTCACCGTTTCCATTTGAACTTAAAACTTGCGATTTATTTAGAGTATTTACTGTTCAGTCTCTTTTCCATTTCAATTTCTCCAGCTCGATGCGGCTGGCCAACTTGGGTTTCTGTTGGCCAAAACAACTGCAAAAACAGAATCATCTGCCAATCCAAACCGGTTGAGTAGGCAGTAGGTGAAGATAGAAAAAGAGGCGACTGCGGACTGCGGCACATTTGTTTTCATCGGCAATTGGCAAGTGAAAGCTTTTAGCGCGAATTGTGCACAGCAATCACTTCAACTGGAGAAGAACCCAAAAGCAGCTTCCCAGGATCCACTTCCTTCTTTTATCTGGCCATCTATCTCTATCGCTGGTTGCTGCTAAATTTGCTGCAGACTTTAAAATTGGGTACTTGAGTTTTCGCAAAGCGCTCACTTTCTGATAATAGCCAAAAAAAATCTTAATTTTTAGAAATATATATTTATATCTCAATCTCTGTAAATTTAGATTAGCAAAACATAGAAGAAGTCAGAACATTTTTATTATTGTTCAGAAGAACATCCAGAGTTCACCAGCAAAATCCTTTCCACCCAGTATCCTTTGGCCACCTGTTTCGACTGGTCGAATAATTTCCCGCAAAATGCTAAGCAGATTACTTTTAATGCCTCGAGCGTAACGACTGCGGCAGTTAAATTTTGTGTTCGCCGCCGGATCCTTGTGTAATGCAGTAGTACATTTTTTAATAGTCGTTATGCCCTGATTCCGCGCGTTAAATCAAATTCCGGCTCACCCAATCAAGGCATTCACTTATGCCACTTCGCTTTCTTTTTTTCCGTTTCTGTGTTCCGGTGGAACGGTGATTATTTGAGCATTGACTCCAATTGACTCCAGGTCACCAGGGGGCCGCTGTCCTGGCAGCCGCTTGATTAATAAAGCCACGGGCCCATCGTCGAATTTGTTTTATTCATAAATTTATAACCATCGGCGTAACGAATGGCAGCCGTTTGGCGAATGTTTTATTGCGTACATAAATTGCAATTAGTCCCAGCTCCCGTTGGGATAAATGTGAGCACACGCATGTCGTCGCCAGGGAGCCACCGCCACTCGAGTGACGAACTGCCCGCCTGGCTAACATCGACCCCCCTCATCCTGCCGCCGCGGTGGGTTAACCAAACATCAATTGACTTATTAATGTTTGTCCTGCCTGGCGGGAAAACTGGAACCGGGGAAAACGAAAAAACTGCCGCCAAGACATCATGGTCGCCTCAATTGGATTCATGTGGCGCCTGTTGGGACATTTCGTGGGTTTGCCCTTTGCCGCAGTCACGTCTGCATTTAATGTGAAATTATGACTTTAATGGCCATTCAAATATATACTAGAGAAGCAAAATTAGGTATACACCCTTAATTTTTTATACATTTTAGGGGATCACTTTAATTGCGGGCGAAAGGTCAAAGAACTTGGGGAACAGGAACATGAGAAGGAACAGAAATAATAAATCGCAGACATTACTTTTACATAATTAGCCAAAAGACTTTATTTATATCTTTTTATATATTTTAAAAACTGAAAAAAATATAAATATCTTGAGTAAAATAATTTTATCACAAACATATTCCCTTTCAAAGGTCAAGAGTCAACTGAGAAATCTCTTAAAAATACTGATCAACTAACCGAAGTCCGGCAAACACTGAATGCCAATTTGATTGATTGACTTTGGCCTTGTAAGTGTGTGGGTTTTTTGCCCATGTGTGCTTGTGGGCCCTGGCAAAAAAGTGAAACTTTTTAACTCCACGGATCCGGGATCCTTTACATCCACTATCTCTGCGCTCGCCCGCGTGTTTGGACTGCGGCTTCCTTTCGCGCTGTAGGCAAACGCAATGTAAAAACATTTAAGGTTTCAATTAAGTGAAATCCCAAACGACCAAAAAAGTAAATGGGCAAAAAAAGGCAAGGGCTCCTCGGCTACGAATGACTGAAGATGACCGGGAATGAGGCTGAAATTTTTCAAGCAATCAATTTGGCCTTCCAGACTAAAGAAAGGGAAAAAGCAAATATATATTTGTATGCGGGCTTACACATATATATATACAATTTTTTCTTCTTTTGGGAGTAAAAGCTGGACCGGGGCCAAGTGTTTTTGGCTTTAAGCTGGACCTTCTTTGACAAACGATTGCTGCAAGAGTCTTAAAAAACAGTGGATGGCCAACCCTTCCATCAAATGTCAAAGCTTAGACTGTAACAGTCACTTGAGTTATATTGAGATTTATTATGGAGAGAAAAGTTCCCGGTGCCAATCATTAATTATGATCGACCGGGCAGTCGGCCATTTTATTTGTTTTCCCCAAATCTTACACGGCTGCCGGGCTGCAATTTATGCGCCAGCCTGCATTTCAATTTCACTTGCAGTTTTTATGAACTGCCCGAAAGTCGAAATCCACTGGCAAAAAATGACTTTGGCCATTGGCCAAGGGAGCAGAGCTGCTCTTGTGGGTGTTCCCTCTTCCAAGGATGCTTCTTTACGTCCCGCCTTCGTTTGCACTGGCTTAGAAAATCAACAACTTACACTTTCTTCTGGGCGGAGCAGACTCCGAGCCAGTTGTTTTGACACTTTTGGGCCAAGCCAAAAGTTTCTCCTGCCCGAAAGCAGGCGTTTTTCAGGTGGGAGGTATTCCCGAAACGGAAATCTCCCACAAGATAATGGATCTGGGACTTTGTATTAGTTTTTATCCTGCAAATATGTTCAATATTATCACAAGGTAGACATATAAAGTTTTTCCTATTGCTGGCCCCTTTGAATATTAATCAGATATTAAAGATCTGCACATTTTTGCCAGCCAGCTGCCTTCCTCGAATTTTCCAGCACTCTATTTGCATTAAAAACTGTTCGTTTTTTGGCGTTTTCCCTGGGCGTCGATGCCTTGGCTTAACCCAGTTGCCAGGCAGTTTCGCAAGTCCCACTTTGCCGGCAAATTTTATAATCAGCATTCTCGAAATAAGGAAAACTTTGCTATGTAAATTAAATGCCGAAACCCGCAACTTTTTGCTGACATTTCTCGCCGCTCGTTCTTCTTGTTTGGCAAACCCACCTAAAAAAAACACAGTCAAATAAATAAAGGAACGGAGAAACAAAAAATGTTCGTACGTATATACGTAATACGTACACTTTTTTATTGTCGCCGGGCCACAAAGGCAGCGGCAAATAAATGTGGTTTAAACATGACAAGTAGCCGTGGGCTGCCAGCTCGTTATCACCAAATATTTTTGCACACGAAATGAGTGAATAAATAAGTCAGGCAAAAAACGGGGAGAACACGGCGAATGGCCTCTGCGAAAGTCGGAGGTGGATCAGGGGCTATATGGCGGATATAGCCGCAACCAAGGCGACTTGGGTCACCGTTTATGGTCGTCACTTTTTTGGCCGCTTGTTTGACAAATAAAACGTGAAATGTCAGCCAGTCAGCCGGTCAGCCAGTCCGAAAGCCAAACAAAAAGAGTAACCAATAAAAGCTTAATTAACTGTTTATGGCCATGGCATGTTAACAGGGCCCGCACCGAAAAGACGTGCCGAAATTTCGTCCTTAGCCATTAATCTGAAGTGGTCTGGGGCCCAGACCGTAAAAAAATGGGAGTCCTCAAGTGGGGAAGGGGCTTACCAAAGGCATTCAATCAGTTTAATGAACAAACAACCTCGGTAACTATTATGCATACATGGGGTACAAAAAGTTATAGGAGATTTCCACACATGCAGGTCATTAAATTGAAAAAAAAAAACTTTAACGGCACTTAAATATTTTGTAAGTATTAAAAGCAAGCTACTTGGCTGACTTAACTGTCATTAAAATATGTAACAATCAGTTCAGAAATTGTAAGAAAAACATAGGGAACCAAAAACATACAAGCATTCTATCTTTTTAATTTTCTACATATTTTGGTAATTTATTATTGCACTTTCAAACTTTGTGAAATAACTGCAACTGCGCATTATGTCAGAGGCAGTCGGCGTCAGGGGCCAGTTCGAAACCCCAGCAGCAAGGTCGAACGAAAGTCAGGCTTCTTTACTCCGAGACGATCGGAAAATAGTGCTGGAAAAGCGGGTGGAGGTTGAGGTTTGTGAGGAAATAATAAGCTCGCTCAATATTCCAGAGGATACTGAAGACAATTTCGAGGCAGCCGAGGCGGCGGATAAAGTTTCGGAACTGCCAGAGGAGTCGAAAGAAGAGTCCAATGAATTTGCGTTTAAGGATATCTGCCTTATAGAGAAGGAGGAGGAGGACGAGCTGTCTTCCGGGTCTTCCTTCACTTCCTGTTGCTCCTTCAAATACATCCGGAAATCGATTCTCAGCAGGGAGATACGCAACGCATCCACCTTGAGTTTGGATAGTGGCGTCGACATCGATTCCCTAACGGATCCCAGTCAAAATCGCCATATAGATCAAGAGCAGGGGATTGGGGATAATAACTCCTCCGTGAGCGTCGTAATGGAGAAAAGATTACTGAGCCTCACGCCCGAAGGCAGCGATTGCGACTGCGAACTGAGTTTGGATGAGGTTTACCAACGTTTCTCTGCCTGGTTCAATCGCACCGAAGTAGATTCCTCTTTTTCCTGCTTCATGCAGGTGGATGAAGACCTGGATGGGTATATATGTCTGGGCGAACTCAAGAGATTCCTGGAGAAACTGGATATGCCACAAACGCATTTGGCAGTCAAAAAGGTCATGACCCATGTGGTGGGGAATCACGAAGGTCAGCTTAACTTCTGCCAGGCACTACTTATTCAGGGAACACTGATGAAACGCCTGGAGTTGAGGAAATGGTGTCTGCAGGATCGCGAAAAGCAGCGATTGGCCAGAAGTGAAGCGGTTGACGTATCTCAAGTGGGCGTAAGTGGGGCTAGGCGATTTTTCGAGGCCAAAATAGCCCTGCAAACGGAACCCCTGGCCCTCAATTCAGATCAACCGGTGACCAAAACCGCGTTGAACAATTCCCCAATCTCCCAGAAAGCCGCCTCCAAAAGGGAGCAATTCAAATCCGCCGCTGCTGTTTTCAAAAAGCTCGAAAGCGATCAATGATTAACTCGTCCTCCTATCCGCACCCTTCAATCCTGACTCGAGTGTGTTGTGTCCAAAATTTCAAGTTGAATTTCTAGAAAATTCCCCGTTCTATCGCCACACTGACCTTGTATCTACTCTATAACTTCCCATAAATCATTTGCCAATAAAACGCGATACAGAAACGCAAACGCTGCCTAAGTGACCAATCAAAGGTAATTGCCGGGCTGCAGAAATACCATACCTCCACTTTAGATACTCCCACTTCTCGCGGGGGAGGCTTTTTTCCATTTTATTTTCTTTTTCTTATGTCTTCAGTGGTGATGATCATTCAGCTATTTTCTGGCTAAACTATACTCTTACCCACCGAACGTAAATAAATAAAAATATTAAACAGCTTCCATTTATTTATTTTGTTGTGAAATTTTTGTTAAAACTAAAATGATTTTAGTTTTGTTTAGAACTTTTGGAAAAGCTCTATAAAACTTTAAAAAAAAAAATTACTAGAAGAGTGCAAATAAATTGTCACATTGAATAAAGCAAATCGTTTTTATCAGTTCAGTTTCCGTAGGTTCCCTTACTGCCCACCAATTCTTCATTTCCTGGACATTCAAAGAAAAAAAGAAAAAAATGCCACCACTGGCAGTTGGAAATTGGCTGGGGCAACGACTCCCTGGGGAGCAAAATGTGCGCCACACACGCCAAGTGGCAAGTGGAAAGTCGGGCGACTGCGACTTTTCCGGAAGTTACCCGGCGGCCTCCAGTCTTCGGGGCACAAAAATATTTTCGTGCAAATAATTTGCGCTCTTAACTGCGCCGGCTATTTCGATATGTATTTGCATACCCCGCGGGCCACAGGATATCAAAAAGTTGGCCTCGCCAAAAAACCTGGCACGCCACACAATTATGCTGCCATTAGGGGGCTGTGTGCTAATATTTATAACTGATTTGGATTTGGGGGCAGCCCCCGAATCGAGTCCCAGCCAGTAGCCAGTTACTGGCCACACGCCATATACAAATTAAAACGAAAGCGTCGGACGCTGCGTATACGCAATATCGCGGAAAATTGTGTAATAAAAATCCAACTAAAGTCATGCGAAAATAATGAGCATAAGCAGGAAGGCGACGGAAGGCATGGGGAAATAGTTTTCAAATTAAAATAAATGCCGCAGCTGAAACAACTTTCATGTGCCCACAGCGGGGGAGGGGATTGGGTTTGGGAAATGGGAAAGCGGGTGGAAAAGCGGTAGGACTTTTCCCACAATGCTCCACTCTCAGCCAGCCAAAATGCCATGAAAGTAAATTCAGTAGAAAATTAATTATGAACGACGACGGCGATGGCAGCGATGATGGTGACGTCGTAAGTGAAACCAATGCAGCGTTTAGCGGAAAAGCAGGGGTCCTCGCAGGTTCGAAGGACGACGGGTGGTAGGCAGGGGGCGTGGTCTATGGCGAAGGCACGGCCATACCTTTTAATAGCATTGCCATCAATTTCGCTCAATTGCGCGCACAATCGCATCTAATCACGTTGGAACGATCCCCGAAAAAACTAGCTTTGGGGTAGAAGAAGAGTACTGTCATTTCTGAACAAAATGATACCTCTTATAAATTATTTTTGCATTTACTACATTTAGAAGTATTTAAAATTTAATGGTTCTTGATTTAGAATATACTAGTAAATTCCGAAAATGTAATTTGCAATCTGAAATGTATGTAAAAAGATTAAAGTTGGATTAAGATCCATATTTGCTTGAATGGCTCTTTTAACTATAGCCTGGCATACCCTTCTTGACTCAAGCTGCACTGCAACAAAGAGGGACAACTTCTGGATGCCCTGACAAAATGTTTATGGTTATTGCTTTATGGCTGCCGGCGAAAGTGTGTGCGTGAGGCCCTCCGTGTGGGTGTGCGTGTGTGTGGAGGATGTGAAAAGGGAAAAGGGTCACGTGTCAGATGTCATTGACATGGTTTGCCTTGCCTTTAAGCGTTTGCAAACAAACCAACACAAACACGCGCGGATGAGAGGCTGGGCGCCGAAAAGTATGCCACGGTTTTTGCCTCATTTGCGCTCAACTTTTTCTGCCCCGAGAATACTTCCATCCCGAAAGCATAAAGCCACCTCACCCCCACTCACTCACTGCCAATTGCAATTAGTTGATGTAATAATTTCTGGCAGCTGCGTAGGATCTTCGTCCTCCGTTAATAATTGACAGGAGCCGAGATACACAGCGCAGATCTCTGGGGATAGGATGTTTAAGGGATGATTGGGCAAAACAAAAACACAAAAAAATATAAATTTTTGGCCAAAAACTCATGTCAGCATTTTTGCCGAAACAACTCGTTTACTGAACTCGTTTAAAATTCTGGTGATCCTGTGTCCAGTACACAGAAATAAATAGATATATTTTATAATGTTTTAAAACAATTTTATTTTGATCTTTTATTGGATTTAAAAAAATGAATACGAAATTTTCTGCATAAAATTGTTCTTTGTGTGTAACGAACTCCAAAATAATATTTTTCCACTCTCTATTTGTAACCCTTTTCACCAGTTGTCTCCTGAATAATCCCACGGGAACCGAAACAGAAACCATTTTCGCATCTTATTCCCCCATGTGCGTGAGCTCTGAAAGTAAAACGTCCTTTTTATTTTGAAGCTTAAGATCAGGTCAATGATGAAGTCAAAAGTGGTCTAACTTATTGGGAACAGGCTTTCTACCTTGTGGCTGTGTAATTAACAAATACAAATTTTCTTAAGATTAGATTTAAATAAAAATGTATATTAATAATTTTAATTTGTGACATGTGTGAAGGAAGGAAGACTATCCGTTATCAGTACAAGCTAATATTTCGGTTCCGAAATTCCCTCTACGAATCGATAAAAAAAGAAATGCAAATGTAGCGAAATGAAAATAAAAAACAATTGAAAATAAACAAATTGGTGTTTTGTGGCTATGGCAAAAGATTGAGCTGCCAGCAGCGAAATTTCCGCAAGAAGAATGTTGAATGAAAATTGGAGTTGAAATTGAGGGGTTTGAGCTTTGAGGCTGCAACTATGCTTTCGAGTACAAAATGGAAACTACTAGTTGCAAAATAACAACTGCTGAAAGAGAAAACATGAAATTGTTGCTCGAATAGTTTAGGCCAAATATTCAAAATATTGCTTTTCACTCGGAGAGGCTAGAAAAATGGCAGATCGATTCAAATAAAATTGCAATGTGAAAAAATGGCAAGTATTTCATTTTCTGTTGATTATTACACGATATAGGATATCTGGCACTCAAGCCCAGTTATTTCGGAAAGACAATATTTATTAAATGGTTTTCAACGTGAATAAACTTTTTAAACATAGTAGAAAAGTGTATTTGTTTAGTTAAATTTCGACAAAAAAAAATGTTATCAGAATTTTTGTATATTGATAATTAGTTTTTCTATAGATTAGATTTTTTTTTATATTATATTTAATTTTTGCTCTTAAGAAGAGATGTAACATTTTGAATGCAGTTTCGTGAACAATATTTTCATTAGCGTTTAAAACTGAAGCAAAAAGATTCGTTCAGACTTGTAAAAGTGTGGAAAAAGAAGGCGAATCTCAATTCGTCGGGCAGTAAAAACCAATAGCCTGGCATTCCCCAGCACCCCAGATCCTGTGCAAAGTTTTCCCCCAGCCACTCTTTACATTTGCCTAGTTGATGTTTTTCTTAACTTTATGGCAAGAGTATTTTTGTTGGCTCGGAGCTCCGGCAAACTGCCGCAAGAACCCGGCTGAGGCGGCGGGAGCAGCTTTTCGATTCAATTTCCGTGTTCACAATGCGCTTGTTGCTATTTTGCATACTCAGGAAGGAAGGATGGGGATTGGGTTGGGGGTGGTGAATGTATATCTATAGTATGTGTAGCTTAAGTAGTACGTATATCGAAAACATTGGCAGCTTCTCGAGTAGGCGTGACTTAGTTCCTTGTTCTCCGCTAAAAGTTTTCCTCGCCTGTTTTTGCCCTAAGTAATTCGCGCACACTGCAAGATTTATGCACTCGACACAGGCAAAAACTTCAGCTGCAGTTGCTATTCGTATTGCCGTTGAAATGCGAGCGGGAATTAAGTGGGGTTCGGCCTTCAGTTCACTGAATAATATGCGCGTATCAAAGTTTCTTAACTGACTTTGCGGGGCATCGAATTTGATGGGGATTGAGCCACTTCGTTATTGCACCAAATCCATTGGATATTATTTGATTCGATTTCTGGATGGAATAATGGATTGCAGTTGGTTTAATTTCTAATTTGCACTATAAAGTTTGGAGCAGACCAAAAAAAATTAAATAAATACCATCCGATTTATTTCTCAGACAAAAATTAAAGTCCTTCAGCTGACTGTAAGGCAGGATGTTGCTGAAAGCCATATTTACTTGAACAAAGAGTACTCCTTGAGCCAACAACCTCAGATCCGCTTTACCCTTTGGTGCTCCGCAGAAAAAACAAAAACTCCCGGCTGCATATCAATAACGAAATAAACTTGTTATACGCCAAAGCTGCCGAGAAAAAAGGGCAGGGAACTTGCCCAAGATTGAAATGCATCGCTTAGCCGAACTTTAACCCAGATGTGGGCGATGATAAGGGATCAGGTTGTTCAGGGAAAGCTGAAAACATAAATGAAATTAAGTGTAAAATTATCAAAGTTGCCAGCCAGCTTTCAAATGTCACGATAAAATATATAAAAAAGAGAAAATATTCAGGGAGTATAGGGATAATGGAAATCTCCACGCCGCCCATCTATGCAACATTCATTTTTCTTTTGTCATACATAGAACCCAACCAAGCTTGATGTTGAAAAATTGAAAAAACGAAAGTCAACGTTGGGACAGGGCTAAAAAAATGGAGAAATGGAGAAAAAATGGGCGGAGTAGAAAGAAAATCTTTGCCTGACGCGCTTAACCCTTTACCCCAAAAGCTCTTTTTTGCCCCCATTCTATCTGATGATAGTGAAAGGCGAGTTCCATAATGATAATAATTTTGTGCATGATTTATGAATGAACAAGTTTTATGGCCCCGAAACGATCCAGGCCATAAGCCCAGTGCAAACGTTAATTTCCAGGAAAGTGGGCAAAGAAAAGTCGGAGCTGACCAGGCCAAGAGCACCTTCTTCGAGACCGCCCGCTCTATTGCACTCTAATATTTATTTCGACTTTGGAGCATAGT